TTTGATATTGAACCTTTGGAAATTTTGGCCCCTACTATGAAGTCCAGTGATGATGAAGATTAGGATAATGTTGCTCTAGATGCATTCATTGCCAGAAGGAGGCCAGTGGCCACTCCTGAGCCCTCTACTAAGCGACCTACTACGAGGTTGCAGAAAAAGGAAGCTCTTGAGTCTGCCCTACAGAAGAGTAAAAGGAGTAGTAAGAAGAAGAAAAAGAGGCTGGTGAAAAATGGAGAGGTTGTGTGTGACAAGAACATTCCTGTAGTGGAAGTGGATGAGGAAGCTGCAGAGGAACCAAGTTCCTTAGTCAAGAGATATTAGAAAAAGAAGCGATCTGCTGAAAATGCTTCAGAGGAAGGTGTTGCAACGCCAGGTTCAAAGCCAGTGAAAAGTCGTGACAAGTTGAAACATGCAGTGGCTGAAGAGTCATTGTCCGATGAGGATATCTTAGTGAAATCAAGTGGGAAGGGTAAGTCAAGTGTGAAGTCTGGTAAAAGAAAGTTGGAAACTGTGAGGGAACCTGATTCTTTGAAGAAAGTGAAACGTGAAAGTATGCCCGATAAAGAAAAGTTGAGGTACCAGAAGGTTCTGTGGGGTCACACTTTTGACCCAGAAATTTGTGAGATGGCTGGTATGGGGCAAATACTAGACATGGTTGAATTTCAAACAGTGGGGACATCTGCTCATAGTGGATGTGCCCAAGGTCTATGAGGATGAGGTCCAAAGATTCTATGCAGGCCTCTTTACTGTTGAATCTGACCATATCTGTGCTCTGGTCAATGGAGTTGATATTGTTTTGGATGCTGCTTTGCTTGGAGACATTCTTAAGGTTCCTGCTGATGGTTAGTCCTCTATCAATGATGTTTGTGGCTCAAACTTTAGGCATGCTATTGTGAAGGAGGGAGCAGTCCAACGGGGGGAACCGGTGCACAAGAAAGCTTTGCTTCCTGTTTATCAGATCCTGTTTGAGTTGGTAAACAAGGTCCTTCTACCCCGTGATGAGAGGAGGTCCATCACTTCCAAGTCTGATCTGTATTTGATGGAAGCACTGGATGGATTCCAATCTGTTAACCTGCCAGCCATAATGATTGAGCATATGCAAAAGGTGGCAGCTTTCAAAGATAGAAACCATGGTCTTCCTTATGGATTTCTTCTCACGCATGTCTTGATGTGCCTTTGGGACAACCCAATATGGGACCAAGAAGCAGACCTTCTCTCAAACTACTTTGGAGGAATGTGAATGTGTTGAAAAAGATGGAGGGGTAGGAATCACTTCGACGATCTCACAACTTATTAGTGCCCAGAATAGTGCTACTGAGGAGATTAGGAAGTTGAAGGCAAGGAATGCCATTCTGGAGAATCAGCAGGCTCAAGAGGCACCAGGGTCAAATGTAGAGGTTGCTCGTCTGACCAAAGAAAATGCTGATCTCAGGCAACGGGTTGAGAACCTGAAGGAGAAACTGCTCGCAGAGCAAATGTCGGCCAATGCTCGAATTGATCTTGCTCTCAATACTCTTGCTGCAGCTTCTAAGCCCTCTCCCTCTAGTGTCCCCTAGGCAAATCCTTTAGTGACCAGTCTCTAGTTTGAACTCTTTTGGTGTGATGACTTGTGGTAGTTGTTTTTGTTTCTTTTTTTTGGTATGGATGGAATTCACCTGCACTGCTCCCACTGTTAACAATCCAAATCTGCCTTTGCTATAATGGCAAAGGCTTATGTTTGATAATTATTAATGAAAACTCTCCTCTTTTGTTGTTTAATGCTTCTGTTTCTCTGCTTCTCTTTTCTATCATGTTGTGTGCACATATGTGGTATGAGTTAGCTAGGCTAGACTTCTTTATGCTGATTACTTGCTTGTGTATTTTTAATGATGCCAAAAGGGGGAATATAATTGAAACAAGGATCTGATTAAGGGGGAAGCATAAAGTCAGGGGGAACTTGTCAAGTTCTTGTTACTTTATCTGGTTTATTGTGCTCAAAATATGGGTTATCAATTTCTAAGTTTGTCATCATCAAAAATGGGAAATTGATGGGTTTACAGTACCTTAGCTTTATGTTTTGATGATCTAATAAAATTATTGTCAAAGAACCAGATAAGGGACCTGACACACTTGGTACACAACTCAATCAACGGACTCGGGTTAATGTGAGTTGCTATAACTTCAGAAGATTAAGAATCAACACAGGGACCTGATCCCCTTGTGTTTCCCTGATAGCAGTACGAAGTCAACTGTCTACAGTTAGAAAGGGACTACCTGCACTGTACATGCAAACATTGCAGCACAGTACTGCAGTCACTCCCCTTTGACCAACCAAGTGATTACATAATTCAAGTGATGTCATCCAAGTTGTATTAACAAAGAGTATTACAACAAAATATCACTTGAACATTTTGAGAATTCATTCAAGCACTCCAACCGTTCTTCAGTTGAGCATTCAATTCTCAAGTGCAGTCAAGAACAAAGTACAACACTACTACGGACCAGTTCCTACAGCAAGTACCTTGTATGTCCTTAGTTGAGTTGTAACTTTGTAATTGTTCTCCATTCTAATTCCTACTTTGCTTATCTAGAAGCTTTAATTAGGAACCCCTTGTAAACCATAAACTTTCAGTGTTTGTGTCGTGACTAGAGTTAGTCATGAGTTGAAGTTTTTATAATAGATGTATTGCAAAGTGGCTTGTAAAAGGTGTATTACAAGTTAGTGAGGGATTAAAAGTTTAATTCCTAGATTGCATAGTTGTAATCTAAAGTTTCTCATAGTAAAGTTGAAATCTTACCAGTGTAGGTCGTGGTTTTTTATCCCCTTGAGCAGGGATTTTCCCACGTAAAAAATTTCCTGTTCCATTTACTTAATGTTTCATTAGCACTACCAGAGAAACCTATAGAGGACTTGGTCTCTATATAGTTTGGTGGACTCATATATTCTATCACATCTATTTCAATGCAAACAATGTATCAACAATGAATCGAATTTTTATTCACATTTTATGGTCAATAGAAATGTCAATATTTTTCAGATCCAAAAATTCCTTGAGATGTTCCTAACAGATGTACCGTTTCTCATTTTGAGATTTTACTGTTGGGATATACTATTAACCATGCGGCTTAGACATAGTATTTTATTTTATTCTTATGGAATAATTTTTTATTTAATATATTCGATTCAATAAAGTACTATTTTAAATAGATCATTTGTTACATGTGTGTCCTTTTAGTTATGTGGTAGACAATTTAGTGTATGGAGTCTTAGCTCATGCACAGAAGATTAAATTGTCAGTTCTCATAATTAATAAACTATGTTAACAATCGAAGATATTATTGGGCAACTATCTTGATGATTGTAGCACAAGATTATAGTATAATTTGTCTTGATTATGGGAGTGGTTTTACTTCGACTTCTTGTGCTAGTATACTTAGTGTATATTGAACGGACCAAGTAGAGAAAAGATATTTTTGTACTGAATATATATAAAACATCTTCTCTAATTCATTAAATGAACTTATACTCCTAATCTTGATATAATTAGTATGATCAATGTGATTTGTTTATTATTTTGATCTATCAAAAGGTACAACTCTATTCAGAGTAAGCGTATGCCTGATAGATTGGACAATAATGAATAGCATTTGTGAAATAATAATTAGATGATAGAACCCATGACTCGATTTTGAGTTTGGCGATACCCCTTTATGTAAGCTTCCGGTGAATTTTGTATCCGTCACATGAAATAGTTTAAGCGAAATTATAAAGGATTCAATTAGTTATTAAATTGAATTTTCAGTAATTTAATTTAATTAACTGGTATTTGGGATCTTAACATGGGGAATTAAAATAAGTGTTAGTGAATATTTGAAATTCATATTGAGGAGTTAAATTGCAGCTTTTTAGTGAAATAAACTGCAATTAATTATAGTAAGAATTAATTCGTGAAAAATTTCGAATTAGTAGCCTCTTATTATTTTTGTGGTCCCTACTATACCTAGTAAAAACCTGGACTGACTTGGGTAAAAAGTGACTTGGGAGAAAAGTCATCTGGTAGAGTTAGAGTAGGATTCTACTTGCACCACGTTTTTGAAGCCCTATTTTTGGCTGAAAATGTGTCTACTTAAGGAAGATAATTTTCACCAAATAACTTACCTTTTAGAGTTGTATTATTCTTGCCCACTCAAAGCAAATTCGTCCAAGGTCTTACTAGGAGCATAGCAGAAGACTGTAGCCCTCGATTCTTGCTGTGTGGAGGATTTGTGCAACGATTTCAAGAGGTTAGTGCTTCTAATCTAGTAATTATAGCATTGTCTAGTTTACATGTATTTGATGCCTGGATTATTTGCTTGCTTCCGATGCGCATGTTCTAACAATTGGTATCAGACGTCGTCTTACATCTAACTAGATAATGTGATTTGAACGAGTCAAAATAATTAAAACCCTGAAAAATGTCAAAAATAGAATTCTATAAATAGGTCATGAATTTGGAATTTTGAAATTCTGTCGTTTAGATGGGTTTTTGGCTATTTTTCTATTTTCTGGAAAAAAAATTAATTTTTTCTAAAGAAATTAGTGATGGTAGGTTTCAATTCACAAGGTTTCTAATCATGTTTCACAGTAATATAAGGAATTTATATGTTGGCATAGGTCTTCTTCCACATCGGATAAGTTCATTATAGATTATTACTGTAGTTTTGCCTCTAGTTATTTGATTACTTGTATAAACTCTCCAACTGAGTTACACGTTGATTCAATGAAACTAGAGTTTATAAAAATGATATTTACCTATTTAAATTAACAATTTACTCTCCATCTGAGTTGGTCCTGTTTTAATTTATGGGATAAATATCTTACATAACTCATATATTTTGCATGAATAGTTAAGTTTCCCTAACGAATCTAACTGTTCAATGAGCATGGTTATATGTGTAATGTGCTATTTTGAATTTAATTATTTATTATTCTAAATACATAACTATTGATCTATTTAATATGATTATTTCTCAGATTAACCATGTCTTCATTCAACCCACTTACCTCAATTTTGAACCAAAACAAGTTAGAAGGACGGAATTATGTTGACTGGAAAAGGAACCTTGACATTGTCCTAACCGCTGAAGGTTACAAATTTGTAATCATTGAGGAGTGCCCAGAAAAACCTGAAAATGCTACTGATGATCTGGTTAAGGCCTATGACAAATGGGTCGAGGCTGATGAGATGGCGCGATGTTACATTCTTGCCTCTATGGAAAAAGTTTTGGAACATCAGCATCAGTCTATGGGGTCTGCTTATGACATGCTCAAATGGATCAAAGAGATATTCGGTGAGCAAAATTGTGCGGCTAAGCAAACAGCCATGGAAGCCCTTTTGAACACCAAGATGGCTGAAGGATCATCGGCCAGGGACCATGTTCTGAAGATGACGGGTCTTCTGAATGAACTGGAGGTCCTTGGAGCTGTGATTGATAAGGAATCTCAAGTTGAGATGGTCCTGCTGACTCTGCCTGACAGTTTTCAACAATTTTACTTGAACTATAATATGAACAAAATGGATTTGTCACTGCGAAATTGTTGAATGAGTTGCAAGCGGCAGAATCTATTAACAAATAACAAGCTCCAATTGTGGAACTCAATGTTGAGAAAGCTTCGGTTTCTAAGTCGAAAGGCGGTAAGAAAAAGAAAAAGGCTCAAAAGGTATTGGCACCTGGAGGTGCGCCCGGTGTGAAAAAGCCCAAAGGAAAGTGCTACCATTGCAAGCAACCTAGGCATCACAAAAGCAATACCCTGCCTATCTGGCAAAGTTGAATAAGCAAGGTAATTCAAATTTAAATGTCGTTGAAACTTGTTTAGCGGTTGTCTCTATCATGTTTTGGTGTGTAGATTCAGGAGCCACTATTCATATCTGCACTACTTTGCAGGGGTTTCAGGAAATGCGGCGGCTAAGTGAGAATGAAGTTTGCGTTTTTCAAGAAAATGACGATCCAGCACCAACTTTAGCATTAGGAGATATTAGAGTTTCATTTAGTAGTGATAGAGTTTCAGTTTTGAAAGATGTTCTCTATGTACCTTCTATTCAAGGAATTTGATTTTGGTTTCGAAAATAATTGATGTTGGTTGTATTGTTTATTTGCTAATAACTCTGCAGTTATTAAGTTTAATAAACGTTTTATCTACACTGCTGCTAGAGTACATGACCTTTTTATTCTTGATATATCTCCTCATGTGCTACAACAACCAAGAGAATTAAATAACACTAATCTGCCGCATAAAAGAAAACGTATTTCTGAATTGAGCCAAACTTATTTATGGAACTTACATCTAGGCCATATAAATCTAAATAGGATTTTGAGATTGGTCTCTGATGGACCTTTGAGTTCATTGAAAGTGGAGTCGCTACTAACATGCGAATACTGTTTAGAAGGTAAAATGACCAAGAGCCATTTTCCCCCAAAAGGAAATAGAGCCAGCGACAAGTTAGAATTAATTCACTCTGATTTGTGTGGCCCTATGAATATACAAGCAAGAGGTGGTTTTGAGTATTTTGTGACTTTCACATATGATTACTCAAAATATGGATACATTTATCTGTTGTGCCGTAAGTCTGAATGCTTTGAGAAATTCAAAGAATTTAAGACGGAAACGGAGAAACGACATGATAAATATATCAAAACATTGCGATTTGATCGTGGTGGTGAATACCTTTCTACGGAATTCATTAAATACTTATAAGATTGTGGAATTACATCTCAATTATCTGCTCCAGGAACACCACAACAAAAAGAAGAAATAGGACCCTTATGGAAATGGTTAGATCAATGTTAAGTTATTCTGATTTGCCTTCTTCCCTTTGGAGATATGCTTTAGAAACAGCAAATTACATTCTAAATTTGGTTCCTTCAAAGTCAGTACCTTCAACTCCAGTAGAATTGTGTACTGGGCCAAGCCACGTTTACGGCGCATTCGGGTTTGAGGTTGTCCAGCACATGTGCTGAAAGGGAAAGTGGATAAATTGGAATAGATGACAAATTTAGGCATTTTTATTGGATATCCAAAAGGATCTAAAGGCGGTTTATTTTATTGTCCCAAAGAAAAGAAGATAATTATTATGATAAATGCCAGATTTTTAGAAGAGGACTATTTAATGAATCATATTCCTGGAAGTAAACTAGTTTTACAGGAATTAATTAATTGAGTAACTAAAGACTCATCTCTGGAACGTATCCCGGAAGCCAGTATTGACATACCACTGCATTATCATAGTGGGAGAAATGTCAATAGGCAGCAGAATGCATAGGAGCAATTGCCTGACATCTCACCATCCCAAAGTAGTGGGAGTAATGTTGAGCAACCTCAGATTATTGAGCAATCTGAAATTGTTCTGCAGGCTGCACTCCAGGAAGAAGTTAATGATATCCCAACACCGCAAGATGTGGAAGATAACATTGAGGCTTCAGTTCCAGAAAATGATGTTGTGATTCAACAACAAAATCAGACTACACCTGTAGTGACTAGTCGTAGTGGGAGAATTATTAAAAAACCTCTCCGGTTTGCGCTCTTGGGAGAATCTTATGATAGAATTCCTGAAGAGCCTAATATAGAACCTATTAATTACGACAAAGCACTACAGGATACAGATGGTGATAATTGGGTTGTTGCTATGAAATTTGAAATGGAGTCCATGTACTCCAATCAAGTCTGGGATCTTGTGGAACCACCTACTGGAGTCAAACCCATTGGTTGTAGATGGATCTATAAGAAAAAGAGAGGAGTGGATGGAAAAGTGCAAACTTTTAAAGCTAGGCTTGTTGCAAAAGGGTTTACTCAAAAAGAAGGGATCGATTATGAGGAAACCTTTTCGCCAATAGCCATGCTTAAATCCATTAGGATTCTCTTATCCATTACTGCTCATTACGATTATGAGATTTGGGAAATGGATGTCAAGACGGCTTTTCTTAATGGAAGTCTTGATGAGTGCATCTACATGGCACAACCAGTTGGTTTCATAAAAAGTGGCAATGAGCACATGTTGTGTAAATTAAAAAAATCATTTATGGATTGAAACAATCTTCTAGAACATGGAATACTTGTTTTGACACATCGATTAAAACCTTCGGTTTTGATCAATGTGAAAATGAGTCTTGTGTCTATGAGAAGTGGGATGGAGATAAAGTTACATTTTTTGTTTTGTACGTGGATAATATTTTTCTCATAGGAAATAGTGTGAGCATGTTGAATTCAGTAAAGGAATGGTTGTCCTTGCATTTTGATATGAAAGACTTGGGACAGGCGACACATATCCTTGGGATCAAGCTTATGCAAGATCTCAAGCGAAGGATATTAGGCTTATCCCCAAGCACTTTATATTGATAATATTCTCACCAGGTTTAGCATGCAAGATTTCAAGAAAGGCTTTCTCCCTTTTAGACATGGAATCTCTCTGTCAAAAGATCAGTCCCCAAAAACGACCGATGAGATAGAAAATATGAACGTGGTCCCTTATGCTTCTGCTGTAGGGAGTCTCATGTATGCTATGCTATGTACTAGACCTGATATCTGCTTTGATGTTGGCATGGTTAGTAGATATCAGTGTAACTGTGGACGAGAACACTGGACTGTCGTTAAACATATAATCAAGTACTTGAAAAGGACTAGAGATTATATGTTGGTTTATCACTCAGGTGATCTTGCATCCATTGGCTATACTGATTCAGATTTCCAGTTAGATAGAGATTCTAGAAAATCTACCTCAGGATATGTTTTTACCCTAGGAGGTGGAGCCATAAGTTGGAGGAGCATCAAGCAATCATGTGTTGCTGATTCCACCATGAAAGTCGAATATGTGGTTGCATCTGAGGCAGCTAAAGAGGCTGTTTGGCTTGGGAACTTTCTAAAAGAGCTTAATGTAGTTTCTTCGGTTCAAGCACTGATTGTACTTTATTGTGACAATAGTGGTGCAGTTACAAACTCGAAGGAACCAAGAAGCCATAAAAGGAGTAAGCATATCGAGCGTAAATATCACTTAATTCGGGACATAACTCACAAAGGTGATGCAAGAGTGTTGAAGATTGCGTCAGAGGACAATTTGGCAGACTCGTTTACAAAGAGCTTGCCATAGAAGATTTTTGACAAGCATGTAGAAGGAATGGGTATTAGAGTATTAGACGCATGGTTATGAGTCTAAGTGGGAGATTGTTGGGATATACTATTAACCATGCGGTTTAGACATAGTATTTTATTTTATTCTTTATGGAATAATTATTTATTTAATTTATTCAATTCAATAAAATACTACTTTAAATAAATAATTTGTTACTTGTGTGTCCTTTTAGTTATGTAGAAGACAATTTAGTATATGGAATCTTAGCTCATGCACAGAAGATTAAATTGTCAGTTCTTATAATTAATAAATTATGTTCACAATCGAAGATATTATTGGGCAAAATATCTTGATGATTATAGCACAAGATTATAGTATAATTTGTCTTAATTATGAGAGTGGTTTCACTCCGACTTCTTGTGCTAGTATAATTAGTGTATATTGAACGGGCCAAGTAGAGAAAAGATATTTTTATACTGAATATATATATATAAAAAACATCTTCTCTGATTCATTAAATGAGCTTATACTCCTAATCTTGATATAATTATTATGATCAATGTGATTTTTTTATTGTTTTGATCTATCAAAAGGTAAAACTCTATTCAGAGTTAGCGTATGCCTGATAGATTGGACAATAATGAATATATTTGTGAAATAATAATTAGTTGATAGAATTCATGACTCGGTTTTGAGTTTGACGATACCCCTTTATGTAAGCTTATAAGTTTTCATGTGAAAACCCGGCCGGTGGATTTTGTATCTGTCACATGAAATAGTTTAAGCGGAATTATAAAGTATTTAATTAGTTGATTAAATTGGATTTTCAGTAATTTAATTTAATTAACTGGTATTTGGGATCTTAACATGGGGAGTTAAAATAAGTGTTAGTGAATTTTCATAATTCATATTAAAGTTCAATTGTAGTTTTTAGTGGAATAAACTGCAATTAATTATAGTAAGGATTAATTCATGCAAAATTTTGAAGTAATACTACAATTAGTAGCCTCTTATTATTTCTGTGGTCCCTAGTATACCTAGTAAAAACCTGGACTGACTTGGGTAAAAAGTGATTTGGGAGAAAAGTCATCTGGTAGAGTTAGAGTAGGATTCTACTTGTGCAAGTAGAATCCTACACGTTTTTGGAGCCCTATTTTTGGTTGAAAATGTGTCTACTTAAGGAAGACAATTTTCACCAAATAACTTACCTTTTAGAGTTGTATTGTTCTTGCCCACTCAAAGCAAATTCGTCCAATATCTTACTAGGAGCATAGCAGAAGATTGCAGCCTTGGATTCTTGCTGTGTGGAGGATTTGTCCAACAATTTCAAGAGGTTAGTGCTTCTAATCTAGTAATTATAGAGTTGTCTAGTTTACATGTATTTGATGCCTGGATTGTTTTGCTTGCTTTCGCTGCGCATGTTGTAACATTTACAACATTTTCTCTATCGGGAAAAAAAATATTTTTTTCCCACAAATATCATCTCTACAGCTACCGTCACTATATATATTAAGCTTTAATAAAAGATGTTACAATAATCTATAAGGCAAGTTAACTAAAATTGATCATTCACGGAAGAGAATAAATGAGAATATGTTTTCCTTTGTCATGGCATTCCCTACATATATGTATTTAGATGTTATCTTACATAATACCTCTTGTGCTAACTAGACTCTGGATGCATTCCACTACATTTCCAATGAAAACTCAACGATTAATATGGGCAATGAAAGAATTGTTAAGATAAGGAACCTCCTTGGAGGTCATCGTACTTTCTAGAAGATTGCAGAGAGAAGAGAGAAGAGAGAAGAGAGAAGAGAGAAGAGAGAATGAGGAAGAGAAAATGAAATTGAGTTCTGTCTATTCATTCATAGAAGCAACAGTACATATATACATTTAACTAACTCACACGTGCACTTAACCAACTAATACAACTGTGCACGTGACTCTTAATACTCCACATCAAGCTGGAGGGTAGTATACATCTAA